AAAAACTTGTTTAGACTAGATCTACAGAGGTTAATGCTATTGGAGTCCATAGACCACAAATTTCTATATTTTACATGATAAGAAAAAGGTATGGAAACAAGTGAGAAGTATTTGGTACTTACTACAATTTATATAACAATGAAAAAATTTCACAGAGCTATTAAATTGCAGCATGAATCTTTTTCAAAACTTTTTTATCAATACTGGCGAAAAGTTGTGTAAAATGCAGATAGATTAGCATTCAAATTGAACATCAACTCTAAACAGATTGAATAAGGACTGCATAAATCATTTGTGAAATAAAGATGTTTTGTTTAAATTATTTTGTCATTCCGAATTTTGCAGTAGAAAAAATTGATTTGAATTTAAAACTTGGGAAGTTTTATTTATTAGATAATCATTAACCCCAAAAGCTAGTACAAACTATTTTGAAGATAATGTAAACTTTCATTTTTACCTCTCGACTTTGGAGCATTTTCTTCAGCCTTTGCTCATGTCAGCCTTTTCCTATTTCAGAAACTGTTTTGAACACTGAATAAGAATTTCAAATTAGGTATAATCTGGGCTAGTTTTTGTTTTTGGACTCCATTACCGGGTCATTTTTCCTTACGCTTTAATGCAGAGTCCCCTTTTGTGACGACAACCTTCCTTGTACAAAAGCTTATTCCTCGTGGACTGGCCCGCAAACTAACTTATAAGCAATATACCAGATTTAGGAATTAAGGAGGACTTCCTTACTTTTTTCACTCAGATTATTTTTTGATCGATTTTTATTTGATGTTTATTCTTCCCCAACTCAGCAAGGAACTATCAATACAACGATTGTAACATCTTTCACCTCAAAGTCTCTAAGTTTGAGATTGAGAATCATCCCTTCTCAGTCTGCTCTAGTTTTACTCAAATGATGACTTCATGAATACTACAATGTAAAGCATTTATTCACCTCGTACTCGTCACATAAAGCTGGCAATGCGAAGGCGTTTTAAGTTGGATTATAAGTTATACAGGTGATTATTTGCAACAATACGAATAGAAATGCCCACGTCGGCACTCGGATCCTTTAGGGCAAAAGTTGTGTTCGCAATCCTTGCCAAGTAATGTCATCTATGATTCATATTTTACCTTCGTATATTTAATAAATCTGGCGCTGATCTAACTTACAGGGAATCCATAATATTTTTCGGTAACCACCTTTTTGTGACCACAGTCCGGCTTCTGATCGGCACGGTATTTCTCTGAAAATATGGAAATTTAAAAAAAGCTGTACTAAACCAAAAGAAGAGTAGCAGAAAGGGTCAAATAAAATTAATCGCGAAAGAGGCAATACATGAAAACCCAGCTTACCAGCATCTTTGTTGTCACAACATAACCCAACGATATACCCTTTATGGCATGTT